CTGAAACCCAATAGGAACAAACTTCAAATTGAAATTCTTCCAAATATAAACATATATTTATATAGAAGAGTTACATGTAAAACAAAATACAAGGACCCCTGAGGAATTGGTATCTCTGGGTGGGAACATTGGCCCATCTAGTCTGTTCTCCAGTTTATTCTCACAATGGCCAACCAACTGCACAAAGAAGTCCTCTATTCTCCCAGTAGATAATTTTTAGAGACAGTCACACTGTTGTCACGGCTAATGGTCAATACCCTCATGATTTCATGAATTGATCCAATCTCTTTTTTTCCAAGCCAACTAAGCCAGCACATCTTGTGTTAGTCAATTCCAAAATTTCATTTTATACAAGCAAAAGCACAACTGTGTACTTTCATAAGCAAGTTGTTATGGAACATGACCTTGGGTGGGGATTGGTTTCAGAGAAATCATTTTAAAGTCACTGTGTATTCATATACCTAGTTTATGATTATTCACATTTTTACAGTGAACACAGTCATTACACATGAATTAGGCAACTTCAGAAAAGAAGGGGAAAAAGTGACTCTGAAGATTTACTTCAGGCTTTTCTCCTGAAGATAACATGCATTATGACTAATATCTAAAACTTCAGAAAGATCATACAGTAGGCAATACTAAAAGCAAAAGGTCATAACAAGAAATGTTAGGATTTGTTTGAGTGTCAAAACTTCCTTGCATGTGGCCACACACATTATAACAGCATATTGATTCACTTAAATATTCAACAAAAAATTGGGAAATGGGTTAGGCAGATAAAGTTATAAGGCATCCAATATACACCCCCCAGCCCCAACAGTATATGCATATGAATCAGTTTCAAAATAATCTTACTCCATTCATTAATTAAAAAATACCTAAATTTCAACATGGATTGATTAAAACAATATGATGGTTATTAGTATGGTCGCCCATGTCAAGTACATAACTCTTGGTGGCTAACAATTGTTACGAACAAAATAAGACAATGTAATGAAAATATAAGTAACATAAATAGCTAGGAAAAGATAATAGACAGTAAAAGTAATCATTCACAACAATTAATGCAAACAAGAAATGGGGCTTACCCACATCAACATTTATAGACACATATATAAGCTTTGAGACTGAAAACAAAAACCACTTCTACTATTAATAAAATCCAATACATCTGGAGGACACATGGTTGGATAAAAGGATTTTAATTGATGGATTCACTAGAAGAAAAACACATTGGCAGATGGTGATTCCAAAGAGTAAGAAGAAATGCGGTTTCGTCGGGAAAGAAGAACGGACGTTTTTAAAGGTTGCCGAATAGGAGAATGAGACAATTGTTTGATTTATTGTATCATGGTCAAAAACCTTGAAAAAAAAATATATATATATATATATATATATATATATATATATATATNGAGTTATGCTCGATTTTTTGCCGATTTTTGACACACCACGCCAAAAAGGTTGCCCATCACTGTCATAAACACTTTATGCAATGGGTAATGCAATCAGGATTGCCTTTTGCTATTAAGATTATTTGGAAGCTGCAATTAAATGAAAAAGCTGGAAAATGTGCTGTGGATATGCTAATCATCTCTTTCTCTGTCACACACACATCTTTGTATAACTATGTATATACCTTCACAGTTTGTATTTTATTTATGAGAAAGAAAAATGTGACTTTAAGATGACCCATTTCCCAGAAATGGAAAATAGTGAAAAGAAAATTATTTATAAATACAGACAAACATCTTGCATGTTTCTGTTTTCCCAATATGTCACCATGACTATTCAAGTCCTTACTCCAGTCCTGGAGGTATTTTTTCCCTCTAATAATCATGTACATAGGTGCACTGCTGGATCCACACTCCAGAAAAATCGCACGGCAGGAAAAAATAATATTAACTGAATTTAACACCCACTGAATAAAATAAATTGCCTGTAAAATAAAATATCCCATTTATAAAATGAATGAATCTTTCACATGAATATTCCAACCATTTTTTCTTTTGCAGCCCACTCTGATAGGTAGAAACAATCAAAAGTGTGTGCTCAAATGTGCGCTCGCGCGCGTGCGAGCACAAACACACTCTTTCATCTTTCTACCCAGATCCCAAACAACAATAACAACAAAGCAAAAGAAAACAAAAAGGCTGGGCTGGGATAAAGATAATAGGTAACTGTTTAAGGGAGAGAAAGTGACACAAAAGTGGGAATAAAATTTGATGGAGATGAGGCAAGGGAAAGAGAATGAACAGGAAATGGAAGAAAAGAGATAATTCTTTTGGCAAAACAGAAAAGGTTAACATGTAGCATGCAAATAACTCATCCCAGGCATCCACTGTTTTTTAGCCATCTATAATCATTTGAAACGCCTCCTCTATTCTTATGTTTAAAAAAAGCTTTTTTCTCTACTTGTAATGTATAAGCCAGCAGGGTTAATTGCATTTCACCTAGCATATAGCAATAGCACTTAGACTTATATACCACTTCATAGTGCTTTACAGCCCTCTCTGAGTGGTTTACAGAGTCAGCATATTGTCCTCAACAATCTGGGTCGTCATTTTACCGACCTCAGAAAAATGGAATATAAATAGTTTGATTTCATTTTTTACTTTTTGTCTGCTCCAATAAGAAGACACATAAGTGCTTTACAGTATGCATTCAGTAATAGGCTTAAAAAAAGTGATAGAAAGCCTCAAGAAAACTAGGCACCCACAACATACTGGTCACACTACATTCCCGAAATGTGCCCACATTCAGCACATTCAATACTCCATTGTGGAAATAGGGGTAACTATCTCAGGAACTTTTCTGTTGGTTTGAAACCCAGAAATTTTAAGAAGAATGGACACATGCTTTCAAAATTTGATTTTAATTGTGTATAGTGACCCACAAAGTCAGGATCACTCATAATACTAAGCCATAACTGTTTGTGGGGACTTTTGGCTTAGTATGATTATCATTACTAACTAGCATTCTTGAGTGTTGTAAAACACCATAGCAGCAAATAGCTTCACATTAAAGTGTACTGTTAATCACTTCTCTCAATATTACTTTTTTTCCCAAGGCCGTGTTGCTTGGTGGAGTTTTTTTAATATTAAAAAAGAAGATTTTTAGCCATTTTTGCAACATACTGTGAACATATTGTGAGAAAATATTCCCAGTTTTATTCATACACTAGTCTGTTCAAACACTGTGTCTAGTCCTTGTGTGTTCTAGTTTCGTAGATAAGTTAAACATTTAAGACTAATTAACCTACAGTTAATTCAGATTATCTCTATCTGTTGCTTGGATAGTTCAGTAATTCATTAAAGTTATTCCATATTTATGTTTCACAAGCTTTGAATTTCATTCTTTAGACATGCTCCAAAAATAGACTTTTTCTTGAAACCAATTTAACACTTTTTAAAGTTGACTATTTATACATTTTCAGAAAAAAATATTTGTTTTGGATTTCTGCTACTAGGGTTAATTAGTTAAAAATTAATTAGAAATTAATTTTTAAATCTTTAAATTGTCACATTGGAATAATTTTTTAAAAAAATCTACATTTTTTTCTGCAAAATGGAAAAAATGTTTTTTCTATTTACATTACTTTAGATTTTCTCAGGTTTTGCTATGTAAGTTGAGGAAAGGTGTATAAGAAGAGGGATTGCTAGGTATAAATCCTTTTTAATGCAGAATATGTGCATTTGAAGAGCCTGTTTAGCTGGAAATGTTGGTCCCTATATCCTTAGTGGTTTAGTTTGCTGTAGTTATGATTAGTTAACATGTGTAGAGAGTATTCCCTTTGAAACAAGCCCCTCTCCAGCCCCCAGGGATGAAACAATGTGACAGTCTTCACATCCCGTGTTTACACTGGATTAAGATTCATTTCTGGTTCTTTTCTGTCATGGAAAAGGAACAAGAAAAACAAAAGGGAAAACTCCCCACAAAAGAGAGGGTCAGTGCTTTTAAAGAAACTACCACAAAACTACTTCTTTCCAAGAGTGAGGAATGTTAATATCTCACGGGGTCTTAGGTTTTTACTCCTGTGGCCATGGCAACATATTCTTTTCAGTAATGGAGCAGGCCTTACAAAATCACCAAGGCCTGGCACAGACATTTGACTCTCCTCAGTAGAGCAATATCACAATGCATTCCTTGCTCATGCCAAAGGCAAGATTCATAGTCCCGTTTTAAAGTTTTTGTACATGTTCTGGACCCGGCGTGCAACCATGCCAGGGGCCAGTCAGCTTTAAACTTCACACTTTAGGATTGGTGTTTCTCAGATCAGTTTATTAACAGGAATTCTTAGTAGCAACAGCACAGTACAGAATGAAATATCTAGAATCATAGTTGCCTTGATATCAAAAAAGGTTGCTGTGAACAGCTGATGGCTAAACTGTTNCATATCAGTATGGCGTAAGCTCTCTGAGAGTTAGAATTAGATTTGGATAGAAAGGTCATGTCCATTTTATACTTATACCTGTTATCTCGTACATGTTTGACAAACTAAGCAAGCAAACAAGTAAATATTGGAGCTTGCTTAGTATAATAGCGCCTTGCGCGATTTAACATCTGGGGGTTGTGCAAAGGGTTTTTTTCCTATTGAAACGATTCTTACAGGAAACAATACAGTAGAGACAACACTCAAAGGGGACGCATCCAAGAAGCACACTAGCTTCGCGGGCTAACATTTTCCCTCCCCGCAACTTTTCATATACGCCTAACTCACGTTACATTTCCGCGCTACACCTCCCACTGACTCTGAAAACACGCTTGCTGCTTTCGGAGCGGCGGCGGAACAACACAGCCGCCTTTGGCCCCACCCCCGCTGCCGCTCTAGCCTTTCTCTCTCTATTCTTCCACGAAACCGGGTGGATGAGCGCGTGCCTGCTCAGTTCTGGCGCCCGCAAAAGAGGAGGTGTGGGAGGGGGGGACGGATCGGAGAGCGTTCACAGGAAGGAAAGACCAGCCGAAACCATTGCACTCGCCGACCTTTTTTTCTACCCGCCCCCTGTTTCCTGCTGGGTGGCCTCTTCCTCTTTCTGTGCCCCTTTCTTCTATTACCTTTGTGCAGCATTGGTGAAACTATGACTTAAATTTCTCTGTTGGCAACTGCATTTCCTTCATCCTTTCCGAGGGTCACTTGAGTTTTTTAGGAGCTTCTTTTTTTCATCATGATATTATCTTGTAGTTATATAATCCGAAATTATAGCAGGAGTTGAGAGAGAGGGAGGGGGGAAATTACCAGTGGAATGATAAATTCTTGCTTGTGAGAGGTCAGGTTCTATTTGATTGCATGTCTTCTTTTATACCTATCCTGCCTTGGCTTATTTTTTTCTGAATTTATAATTGCAAATGGATGTCTCTGAAACAGTCTGTCAAGAAGCTGGTAAATCACCTCCCCTTTTACCAGACGATGTTTGTGCAAATGATCCTGGACTTGTCAAGCACGACCATTCACACAGTTCATCATCTCCTTTCTTTGGCAACACTGAATTGCAACCTGTTGCTCCTTTCAACAGGAAAGCAGGAGGAGAGTGTAGGATTCAAGTGGTATGTTCCCTATTTCTTCCAAATTCACTGTGGCTTGACTGGTTTTGTGCAGAAATACCAAATACAAGATTGCAGATATATGTAGGATCATGAACTATCATTGATCATGAAAAAGGTACATACTTAACTGAAGGACCTTGCTACTGACATGGTAATCAAGAAAGGTGCAAAGTGGTTGAACTCATAACAATTCATCATTTATTTTTAAGTAAGCTTCCGTATTAAGATGTGTAGAAGAATAGATCTAAGCATTGGTTACAAATGTGTATTTGGAATACACTGACATCAGTGGGATAAATTTGTATACTCTTAAGGATCAAAACACCCCAGAACTGTATATTTGAAATAGAGAACAGTGTGCTTAAGATTTGCTCCTATTCTTTTACTGTATTATATTGTATAATATAACAGCTGCAGTTCTATCACATGCATATTTATATAATTTTATTTTCTACAGTTCAGTCATGTCCAACTTTCTAAGACTGAGAGAATGTGATTAACCCAAGATCACCAAACTGACTTTGTGCCTAAGGTGGTACTACAACTAGTGGTCTTCTGGTTTCTAGCTTGATGCCTTAACCAGTACACAAAACTGGCTTTCTTATATTATGTATAATTAGTTCATAATCAGCTTTTAAAAGTAATTTCAATTTTTTACTTATTAAGACTTTTCACTTTATTTTCACTGAAAGTGGAAGCACCTAAATGATCTGGATTGAACTAGAAAAAATAAACCAGGTGAGACCGGAAGGAAGGAGGATTCTGAATCTAGCTTCATATCTTTGCCAAGAAAATAGTATGGATATGTCAATAGAACAACAGGAGCTGAGGTCAACTAAAGACAGGCTTTTCCATTTATAATTTGAGCCATGACACAAATAATTCGTTTTTTGTGCCTTAAGCAAAAGAAACAATTGTGGGGGAACCATTTGTAGAATATAGAAGATGTCTAAGAACCAATCCTTGAAAATAATTATAAATATTGTTTTAAAATAATATATTTCTTTAAAAATGTTCATTTGGTTGTTTTTAAAATGTGTAAGATTAGGAATCCAAATTCTTAAGTTGACTAAACTTGCTGTTTGTGGTGAGAGCTGTAGTAAAAGGGATCTGGAGGATACCAATTTAGGAAAGTTGCTCTTAATATTCACTAAATTTCCTGAGAGCCTTGGTAACCTGCCAAAATGCTTGCCTGCTGTGACCCCGTGGTTATTTTGACATGTTGGCAGGGTAGAGCCTTCGCTTTTGATGCACTTAGCTTTAAAGGTTCTTGAAACATCTTGAAAGCACAGCATGAGGTCAAAGGCCATCCCTGTGACCCCCCTCCCAGTTCAGACTATAAGGATGATGCAGTTTGTCTGTGTTATGCTAAATTGTGGATGCGAGTGCCTCTAAAACCCAGGGCAATTATAAAAATAATCTCCTGAGATCCAAGTTTAGTGCAACAAAAGAGTTCATCACACTTGCTAGAGGGGGAAAGTGTGCACACCATGGCAGATTGGGATGCAGATTAATTGACTCCTTATACTATCTGTTGTTTTTCTTATGAGGTAGATTGTTATCTCTTAAATATGCATATTCATATTGCTTTTCCTCAAAGTTTATTAGTACTTTTATGTAAGAATACTGGAATAAATATAATGTAGCTCACATTTGACTTTGAAAAAGAATAGTTGCTGATGCAGTTGTAATTGCAATAATGAAAATTGGAATTAGTTTATAATGACTTATATTGTTAATACCTTTTACAGAACAATTTCTGATTTTGTTTGATGCAGATTGAGGATATTAAAATAAAAGTTACAAACGTAACTTTTGAAAAAGAATTACTGTTTTCAACAGTTGAATGAAATGTCGGTGATAAATTTAGTAAATATATACAGTGCATATATGAATATAATAGTTTGTTTGAAATCTGCATCTTTATATAGGATTATATTCAGAAAGAGCTGTTCTTTGTTGATCTCAGATGAGCAAGCATGTCCCCAGATCAGTTCTGATAATATCTTGAAATAGTGAGAAGCCAAGATAGCATTGGAAAGAAAGAAGGGACCAGAACAAGAGAAAGACATCAACACTGGGAGATATACAATTGTGTTTGCACAAGTTTTAAACAAGGAAAAAGGAATCATTTGTGAGGAAAAGGTTAATACTTTTTTCTGCTCAGAAATCATTGTTCTATAGTATACATAATAAAAATGTTGTATTTGTTTAAATCGGACTTGAAGAATGATAATGCAGCCTACTGGTTTATTTATTTTTATTCATTATAGTCTGTGATTATGCCAGTCTATAATGCTGAGTCTTGGCTGGATGAATGTCTGAAGTCTGTTCTGGATCAAGATTACCAAGGTTCTATTGAACTGTCTGTTTTTAATGATTCCAGCACGGTATGTACATTCATAATAATCTATTTTTACTTTTACTGTACTACTATAATTTGAATACCAGTTCCAGTTAACGTTTAATCTTTAAATGTTAAAAATTAACCTTTTGGTGCTTTTTCTTACCAGGATAATTCTATAAATATAATTAAAAAATGGCAGATTTTGTTGGAAGAAGCGGGCATTCAGGTAATACTGGGAGAGAACTACTCAACTCATCCAGGTGGAGGTAGGAGCTTTAAAACTGTATGTGTAACATTTTCCTCAGCATGAGAAATCAGGAGATATTTCTGATATTTTGTATAGACGTACAGTACAAATATAATTGAGCTTATGGGCTAAGAACTCAGCCTATTTGCTTTTTCTTTGGTCTCCCCTAATATAATGTTTGTTGAACTTAACTAGAACTTATTAAGTAGGACCATTTGAGGGTCCCCCTGAACCCGCAATTCCCGTTTGAGGATTAGATGGCTGTGTGCCTAGCTTTGTATTGTATTCCAATTGTGCCCTTACTTGGAGTGGAAAATTCCTTTTACAGTTACTGATGGTTTAGCCATCTCTTGAGTGGATTACTGGAATGCGCTTTCATGAAATTGTCCTTGAAGAGCATCCAGAAGCTGCAGCTGCTTCAGAAAATGGTGGCACATGAGTGCCCTTTAATGTGTGCGCATTACACCTTTGCTCCATAGGCTGAATTAGTATGCTTCTAAGTGCAGTTCAAGTTCCTAGTGATGTTGGTACTTTATAACATAGGAGTGAGTTATTTGCAGGACTGCCTCTCCCTGATCATTTCTACCCATCCCATTAGATATTGCAGAAAAAGCATATTATGATGAGCCAGATTGTTGGAAATATGCTGTAAACCACTTTGAGAGGGCTGTAAAGAACTGTGAAGCAGTATATAAGTCTAAATGCTAATGCCAATTATGAATCATATCAATTAAAGAAAGCAATCTAGTAGGATCCAGGAAAGGAGGCTATTGTGGCAGTGTGATTGAAGCTCACCTCTTTTGCTTGCACATTGTCTTGGACAAGTACAGAAAAGTTGAGCTTTGTGATGCCCTAACTGCTTTCTTGATTTTTTTTTTTGACTTATCCTGATTTTTTTCTTTGGAGAATGCAGTGACTTACATCCTACTAAAGAACTAACCCAGCTCCTCTGAACATCATCCAGTGTCATTTGCACATGCGTTAGACTTAGATGCTCCATTTTTACTGCCAAAGAGAAATATCTTCTTAAAGTTTGATCTAATATTAAGCCATAACTGCAAAATTAATAAATTTTATTAAATATAATTGAATGGGGATGTTGCCAGATAAAATTTGGAAATCAGTGAGCATCAGTTGGATACATTTAAAAATCCACTGTAAATCTCCCTGCCTTGCCTGGCAAAA